AAAAGTTTCTTCTAGAAACATGTAAGAATCAGCTTTTATCAAGCCACTCCTACTTGTTAGCTACCTTCACATACAGCATCTTATTTAGTCCTCCCGAGAGCCCAAGTCACCCTTATTTTACAGACGGGGACACTAAGGCTCTAAAGATGACTTAGTGAAGGTGAGGCAGTGGCTAACACGTGATCTGTACTTCCTTGTCTAATGCCAGTGCCACTTACAATCTGCCTCCAGGCCGTCTGCACTCCTTCCACACACTGTCTTGAGGTCTTGGCCGGGAGTGCTTCCTGCTGGGCTCAGCTTCTATTTGCAGGGCTGTTGGGCTTGCCAGGTTCTCTGATCCCCTGGCCAGAGTCGTCTTCCTTGTAGCAGCCTTCACCAGCAGCTCTGGAGTCTCTCTGGAGCTCAGCCCAGGCATACAGGGTGCAGAGGGCCAGGGCTCCATCCAGAACCTTCTACCTTTTTCCTTAAAGGACAATCTGTCTTCTAACAGTGGTCATTCTGAAGACACTTCAAGTCACCTTTTCTGATGCACCTAGCCTGGGTATCAGAACAAAACCGTTTATGTATCACCGCCTCAGGGCTTTCTGAGACCAGTGTGGTTCTGATATCCATTGTGGGTTAGTTGCTCAGTCGTGTCTGACTCTTTGCGACCCCATGGACTGTAGCCCACCAGGCTCCTCTGTCCATGGGATTCTCCAAGCCAGGATACTGGGAGTGGGTTGCCATGCCCTTCTCCAGGGGACCTTCCTGACACAGAGATTGAACTTGGGTCTCCTGCATTGCATGCGTTCTTAACTGAGCCACCAGGGAAACCCATTCATCCCATTATATTAATTTTTTGCTCTTAGTCACAGGATAACTTCTTAAAACAATTATGGTAGCCCGGTCTCTGGAGAAAAGGTGGGCTGTCTGGATGGTGGCAGTGAGCTGTGCTTTCACACGCGACATGTCCATACTACTCAACTTTGACCACTTCGGGCTGCATTTCCAGTGACCCCTCTCCCCTCCGATCCACGGCCCCTCCCAGCTGTTTCGCCTGAACTTCTCCTCAACCTCTGCAGGTCCATCGTGAATGGATAGTGGGATGGGGGGGGGCACATGTGATCGGCCCCATTTCACAAAGAGTCCCACACTCGATCTTCTGGAGTGACTTCCCAATGAGATGATATGTGCAGGGACGCTGACAGGACTGAAACAGAATATTCACTATCGAGTGTACCCCGTCAAGATCCACTCTGAATTAACGCTCCAGAGGGCCTGTGCTGCTCTCGTGAGCCAAAACACTCACAAGTGTTCCGTGGTAGTGACCCTTGGCCTTTTTTGTTGCTAAAGGCATAAATACATAGAATGTACAGGTGGAAGGCAAGGAGATCAAACCAGTAAATCCTAGAGGAAATTATCCCTGAACATTCATTGAAAGGACTGATGCTGAAACTCCAATACTTTGGCCACCTGATGCAAAGAGCCAACTCACTGGAAAAGACCCTGATGCTGGGAAAGTCTGAAGGCGGGAGGAGAAGGGGACAACAGAGAATGAGATGGTTGGGTGGTATCACTGACTCAATGGACATGAGTCTGAGCAAGCTTTGGGAGATGGTGAAGGACAGGGAGGCCTGGCGTGCTGCAGTCCATGGGGTCACAGAGTCAGACACAACTAAGCAACTGAACAACAACAGCAACACATTTAGAGCTGTATAATAAAGCTACTGTAACTTTAAAATCATTTTTATCTGTCTTACTTTTAATATGCCTAATATCACATTTTTAATATGCCTAATACCATGATGAAAGGCGGTGAACTGGACTTCTCCAAACCTCTGGGAGGCTCTGACTCCCTTTCTGAAGAATCATAGTTTCGTAACAGATCCTGGTCTTTGGCTTCAGCTCGAGGCGTTAATGCTGGCTAGCTTTGTGACCTCAGGGAAGATGTTGCCTTTCAAAATCATCTTCCTTGTTTGTGTGACAATAACATTTGCCTTTCTCATTTCCAGAATAATTAAACTTTCTCAAGTTGGTTCACAACATTCCAGAAAATGGGTAAGATTTTGACGATTTATCATCCCTTTCCTCTGCTTCAGGGTCTCAAAAATGTTCAAGTAGATCATACTCTTGTAGGAGATTTTAAGATTTAATTTAACTTTTAAAATTAATTTTATCTACCTATCTATATATCTTTGGCCATGCCATGTGGCTTGTGGGATCCTAGTTCCCCAACCAGGGATCAAACCTGTGCCACCTCCATTGGAAGCAAGGAATCTCAACCTCTGGAGGTGCTGAGGTCACAAAAGCTTGGAGGCACGAGGCTGCATACTTCACAGTGAAGCCAAATTTTCCATCTTTTGTTTGCCCAAATGATGTATTTGAATATTGCTGCAGCTAGGTCATTTTTGCAAATTACCTCATTATTACTGCTTTGGATTAGCCAATTGGCTACAAGCGCTAGTGTGGAAGCTTTGCTGGGAAACGTATAAATGTAGAATCTGCTCAGTACGGAACATGTTCCCAGCCTTCCTCCGGTGCACAAAGCCTCTGACCTCATTCACGTAAATGCTCGATAAGAATACACAACTCAGAGCTTTATGCAAAACAGGGATGACCTGAGTCAGGTGGAACTGACTGTGGGTGAGACTATCTGTGGCCTTTAGGGAAATCTTTCCACTGTCACCGAGCAACTGCAGAAGGCGCTGTGTACTCACGTCTAAGAGGAAACTGCAGGTAAGCAGAACTGTTTTAGAAGGCCAAAGTCTTGTTTCTTCTCAGCCTTTCAGTTAATTAGGATCCTATTCTAAAGAATGTGTATTTGTTAATTCATTTTACAGTCCATGGAATTCTCCAGGCCAGAATACTGGAGCAGGTTGCCATTCCCTTCTCCAGGGGGTCTTCCCAACCCAGGGATTGAACCCAGGTCTGCTGCATTGCACGCGGATTCCTTACCAGCTGAACCACCAGGGAAGCCCAAGAATACTGCAGTGGGTAGCCTATCCCTTCTCCAGGGGATCTTCCCGACCCAGGAATCAAACCGGGGTCTTCTGCATTGCAGGCAGATTCTTTACCGGCTGAGCTACCAGGGAAGCCCAATTCTAAAGAATGTGTATTTGTTCATTCATTTGCCCCCTGCAAACCTTTGGAAAAGCATTCACCAGCATCCCAGGATTGAGAACAAATTTCTCAAGGAAATTTTAGGTCCCTGGAGTAGAAAGTCCTTTGAGAAGAAAGTATTTTGAGTACAGAGCCAGTGTTTTGAACTCTCAGGCTCCTCAGATTCTTTCCCTGAATTATAAATCACTGATCGACCCAAGCCTTTCCCTGCCACCCCCCCAGGCACCCATAGTAATCCTGAGTAAAGAGGAGAATCAGCATACACCTGGTCTTCAATCCGTGCTTTGAAAAGTGTTACGTGCACAGCAAACGTCTTCCTTTGAGTGCTGGGCCACCTGGCTAAGATGGAGCTTTGCTGTCTCAGATTGCTTTCTGCCAGCCCTTGGTCTGTTTATTGATATATTCAGCACTTGACTCACAGACGTTCCTCTCCCTCAAACGCCTGCCGCATCCTGGTGGTGGCTCTGACACCTGCAGCTCCCGGCCCCTTCCTGACTCCCACTGTCGGCTTGAAGTCTACAGCCATCTATCCAGAGCTGATCCACCTCTGACACCCTCACCTCCAACAGCCTAATTCCTCATCCAGTCCCCTGTTCTATGGACAAATGCCCCCTGCCCGTCACCGCTGCTATTCTGTTAGCCTCCTCCTACACTCTTTACATCTTTCCCCACTTGGTTGGACCTGCCTCCTATTTTACTTCTTTCTTTCTCTCTCCTGAAAGTAAACGTGTTAGCTTTGCCCAGCTGTGCCCAGGTGTTTGTGACCCCATGGACGGTAACCGGCTAGGCTGCTCTCCAGGCAAGCATACTGGTGCGGGTTGCCATTCCCTTCTCTTCTCCAGGGAACCATTCCAACCCAGGGATTAAACCCAGGTCTCCTGCATTGCAGGTGGGTTCTTTACCATCTGAGGCATCCGGGAAGCCCCTTCTTTCTCCTGGATCCCACAGATTCAGTTTCAAGTGTTATCATCTCATTCTCAAACATTTACTTTGCCACTTATCTTCTCTGCTGCCCTAAGCCTGGAAAATCCAACCCCGGCTGGTTTCACTCTGTCTCTCCCGCTTCTAGCCTCTGGGTGCTGGGCTCACCCGTGCGGATAAATGCCCCTTCCAAGTAACGGTTTTCTTCTGAACCTGGTCTTAAGCAGTCCTGGGGAATCCTGTGTGTATTCCCAGGCTGTATTTTCCCTAATGAACATCAGAAGCCATTCATCCTATTTTCCCTTGCCTGAATTTGAAGGTCTTCTAATTTTTCCCTCAGGTATATATATATACATATATATGTGTGTGTACACAGACACACACACACACATCTATCGCGTCACAAAACACATCACATACATTTTGTGACTTGACATAATCCTCAAAACAGCCTACAAAGGAGTTATTGTTATGCCTATTTTATAGACAAAGAAAGTGAAGCTCAGAGACATTCAAATAAATTGACCTGCCTACTCTAGCGATCATGTTCCTGACCATTCCATTTCCACTGGTTTTGTTTGGGCTATAGGCAACATGGGCTTCCCTGGCGATTCAGACGGTGCAGTCTGCCTGCAGTGCAGGAGACCTGGGTTCGATCCCCGGGTCAAGAAGATCCCCTGGAGAAGGGAATGACTACCTACTCCAGTATTTCTTGCCTGGAGAATTCCATGGACAGACGAGTTACCGTCCATGGGGTCACAGAGTCAGACACAACTTAGCAACTAACACTTTCACTTTTTTAAACACACATGTGGGGCTTCTCAGGTAGCACCACTGGTGAAGAATCTGCCTGCCAATGTAGGAGATGCAAGACATATGAGCTCGATCTCTGGGTTGGGAAAATCCCCTGGAGAAGGAAATAGCGAACTGCTCCAGTATTCTTGCCTGGAAAATTCCAAGGACGGAGGAGACTGGTAGGCTGCAGTTCCATGGGGTCACAGAGAGTTGGACATGACTGAGCACACATACACAGGATGCTGGATTTTTCAGGACTGTTAAGATTTTTAAAAAGTTGCTGCCTCTCCTATAAGCCATCAAAATTGCTTAGAATTGCTTGTATTTTTTAATTTTTAGAAAATACGGATACTCTTGTATAATGTCTTTAAGTATCATATATTCCTGATCGAGTACATATAATATGCATATATATTATATAATTATATGTGTAGTCAGATATCTGTGTGTATGGGACTGAAGAATGTCCATAAATGTATCTTGCTTATATACTACTTTGTTTCAGAATGAATTTGAGGTGAGTACTAATTTGGATTATATCACGTCTCTATTTTATAACATGGATGTTTTCCTGTGTCATTAAATCCATTTTGAAGACATCATTTTAATGGCTACCTGGTGACCCAGTTTTTGGATATGCCATCATTTACTTTACCAATTTCCTATAATGGATTTCGGATTGTTTCTAAGTTTACAGTATCATGATACTATGGTAAATTTTCTTATATTTACATTCTTATAGGTGTCTCCTATTATCTCCTTGATATGAGTTCCTAGAAGTGGAGTTATTGAATGCAAGGTTTGCTCTGTTTCGAGGTTGCTGACATGCAGTTGCAGTTTCTGGATTTTGCCAGTCGGTCCTTGGGCACACCCTTACGGACAGCGCTGTGCCTCTGGCCGTGTGGGCTGTCCCCGGGGTCCCCTTCGCCCTTCCGGGATGCCCGGCTCTGATCTCCAGGTGTTTTTGTTGGTGTGACTCTTTCCTCAGATTGTCTTCCTCGGGGAAGGGGCTTGGGTGCTACACAGGATGTTGGTGCTTCGTGAACCCCAGCAGCTTCAGATTCTGTATGACTCCTTGGAGGAGAGCACCCCTGAGTCCTTGAAGGTAGGGAGCGGGGGGAGAGGGAGGGAGAGAGGACTGAGGCGTGGAGAAGGCAGACTCAGGGCTTTCCAGGGCAGATGGAGGTGCAAGTCCAGGACTCCTTCTGCCTGGGACTATCTTAAAATCCACATCCAATCACCTCCTTTACTTCCCTGGGGATGCTTCAGTATCTTTTAAAAACCTTCATTTTGTATTGGGGTATAGCTGATTAGTGATGTCATGGCAGTTTTATTTGAACAGCACAAGGACTCAGCCATACATACACAATATTTTTTTAAATTAATTTTTATTCATTTATCTGCACTGGGTCTTAGTTGTGGCATGTGTGGTCTAGTTCCCTGACTAGGGGTCAAATCTGCCCCCCTCCCTGCATTGGGAGCTCAGGGTCTGAGCCACTAGATCACTAGGAAAGACCCTACAATATCTCGTGAATCAATTCTGCTGCTATGTTTGCTGGATTTCCTTAACGGTCCCAAGCTATTGGTCACCTGCAACTCGATAACCAGAGTATCCCTCTAACACACATATGATCGTATCACTCCCTTGCTTTAAAATGCTAGTGGCGGTTCATGTTCAAAGCATAAAGCCCGTATTCCTTCACTGGATGTACAAGCGTTTATCAAAAGCGTCTCTTCATTTCCTGACATGGAAGACACACTATGCGTTCGATCACTGACCCCTCACAGTCCAGCAGGTGGGTGGACCCAGCACCTTCAAGCCTCCAATCATGCTCCTTCTCCCAACGGAATGCTTGTCTTCCTCTTCTCTCTACTTCGCCAGGTTTATTCATTTTTCATGGTCCAATTTAAATGTTAGTTTTTCTGTAAGTTTCCCACCGCTTCTGGACAGGTAGTGACTTTGCCTTTTTGTGACCCCACTTGACCATGGGCACAGACCTATCAGAACACGTGCCTTTTTAAGTTTAGACTGTGTATCTCTTTGACATTCTAGACTTGGCTTGAAGGCAGTGGCCACATCATATCCACCTTTGAATTCTCCATATTTGACACAAATTTGATATACAATAGGCAGATGTTGAATAAATGGCGTGGTATTAACGTTTAAAATAGGAAAGGTATCAATAGTATGGACTTTTCATAAAAACGAATAAATACATGTTAGAGAAGCCAGTTCATTTGTCATTAACTTGGGTTTCTGGGGACGCTTCCTGCACCATTTTGCAGGATGTCTTTCGACGAGTAGTCCAGTGTGCCACGCTGGAAGCACTAGTCCTGTCCTTTCAAGTCCTTCTCTTTTTAGAAAATGTTTATCTGTTTACGTGGGTGCACGGGCTCTCAGTCGCAGCACGTGGGATCTCTCGCCACAGCACCTGAACCCTTAGCTGTGGCAGGTGGGACCTAGTTCCCTGACCAGGGGTCGACCTGGGCCCGCTGCGCCGGGAGCTGGGAGTCTCAGCCCCTGGACTATCCGGGGCGTCCCCCATCAAGTCCTTCTAACGCCCGCTTTTACTTCCCATGCCACAGGCAAGACCCTGTCTCAGAGAACAATTTCACCCTCTCCTGCTGGGTTTTCGCTCTTGCAGGTGTACGGTGCCCTTTTCCACATCAGAAATAAAAACCCGTTCAACCTGGAGGTGCTGGTGGATGCCTGGCCAGGGTACCAGACAGTCATCATACGGCCTCAGAAAGAGGTGAGGCCCCGGCGCCCGAGGGCCGGGCCCCTCACCCTCAGGACGGAGATGAGGGGCTGCAGCGAGGGGCCGGCAGGGGGATGGATCTTGACACGCCTGATTCGTGCAGATTTGGGAAGGGTTGCTGGGACGAGAGGGCAGGATGGTGAGACCAAGCGTGGCGGTAGACCGCAGAGCCTCTAGTGTAAGCTGTAAGTTGCTCTAGAATTCCATTCAGTCAGCTCTCCCCCGTCAAGACTCCGATCAGAGGCATCCACCTCAACCTGGATGCCTGTGGCTGGAAATGGTCAGGAAGTGTTCGCTTTCCCTGTGGCTGGATAACCACAATCCCACAGTCCTTTGAGCAGTGCTGAGTGTGAGGTCTAAGACCGCTGCGTTCCTAACACAGAAGATGAAGTTGACAAAAATAACTATGTCAGAGGTCTGTGAAACAATCGATGTCATGTTTCTTTCATAAGAGTGTCTTCACCTTTCAGGGGAGATGAGTGGTGAATCCCATCCTTCCCGGAGTAGCGCTACTTTAACAGCCCCCGCCCCCTTATCCATGTAGATAGTCATCAGGAGTCTTGGAGCGCAGCGGCCCCGGGGCGAGCCGGCAGCAGGGGCAAACGGGCGGCGGGGGGCCCAGCAGCCCCGGCCCTCCGGGCGCTTCTGTGGGCTCTGGCGCCGCGGCTGGGCGTCGGGCCGTTCCCCATCGGTCCGCTGTTCTCGCGGGCTCGCCGCTCGCTGATCACCACCGTGCCAGCTCCAGAGGGCTGGGTCACAGCTAAGCTGCAAGCGTCAGGAGCCCAGGCGTGGCTGACTCTGGCTGACCCCACGGACGGTAGCTCTCCAGGCTCCCCTGTCCGTGGGGTTCTCCAGGCCAGAAGGCTGGAGGGGATTGCCGTGCCCTCCTCCAGGGGATCTCACGTCCCCCACACTGGCAGGCGGGCTCTTTGCCACTAGTGCCACCTGGGAATTCACCTTCAGAATTAGCCGAGGCGTCACCTTCTCGCAGACCACAAGCCTGGACTCCAGCCCTGTTCTCTGTGCTCCCCTCCACCCCTCAGGCCCCCGCTCTTTGAGGCCTTTAACACGCGCTCTTTCTGCTGCACTTTCCGTCTCAGACACTGGGACCACTTGCCCATCGTCCCAAGGGCAGCTGACTTCCAGGGCATCACCAGGAAGGAGCCCCTTCCAGTCTACAAGGGAGTCTGAGACACTGTCGGCACCTTTCTCACACAACAACAGCAACAAAGCCTATCCAACAAAAAAGTCTCTAGTGTTCTGGACATAGGCAAAACATTTTGTTAATGGTATCACTATGTAAGTGTGACTGATGTTTGTTACCTCAGGAGATGAAGGATGACCTGGATTATTATATCAACACTTACCACATCTTTACCAAAGCTCCTGACAAGTTAGAGGAAGTCCTAGCATGCCCGCAGGTCATCAACTGGGAACAAGCCTTCCAGATCCAAGGTAATTGGTCTAAATTAAAGCCAAAGATGTCCCATTTAATTTATGGTAGATATGACAGGGGGTGAAATGATGCTTGCTTTTCTCCTCTCCCCAGGTTGTCAAGAGAGCTTGGGCAAGGCATTACAAAAAGTTGCAGCTTCAAAATCAGTGCAGGTAGATTATCTGAGAACCGTACTTTTTGTGTTTGAAAAACCAACATTCGCGGCATCGAGTGGTGACAAGATGGATTTGGTGAAGTTACTACAGGTTCCTACAGTGCTGAAAGATAAATGGTGAGATTTTTACCTTTTGCTTCTGAAATTCCTGATAGAATAATTCAGTTGCCCTATGGGCCAGACCCTTAAATGTAGGATCTGCGACTACATTATAATGGTGTTCAGAGCTGCATGGGTAAGAAAGGGAACTGTGTTAGGTAATGTTTGCTGAGAGTGGGCAGGAACTTCTTTAGAGTAGGTTCTTTTCCACATATCAACTTCCTTAGATCTCACAAGAGTGCTCCTGGAAGAATACTGGATGTCATGGTAGAACTGAAAAACTTTTACTGAAACTATTCATTTTTTGACCAAAAAAAATTACTTCATGCTATGGAAAGTACATGTCTGTGTGTGTGTCTGTTTAGTTGCCAAGTTGTATTTGACTCTTTTGCGACCCCACTGGACTGTAGCCTGCCAGGCTCCTCTGTCCATGGATTTCCCAGGCAAGAATACTGCAGCGGGTTGCCATTTCCTTCTCCAGGTGATCTTTCCAACCCAGGGATCAAACCTGCATCTCCTGCATTGCAGGAGAATTCTTTACCACTGATCCACCAGGGAAGCCCTATGCAAAGGATACAAATATACAAAGTAAAAAGTGAAGGCTTGCCCACTCGGATTTCCGAAATCTTTCTGTCCATGTGTAGATACTCTTAGCATTGGTTTTAGAACTCTGTATGTATGAGTTGTTTGCTAGTTTTTTTCTCTACAACATATGCATGGCTATACTGCTCTTTACTGCTTTCACTCAGCTATGTGTTATATCGTCTTTCACATAAGCTCATGCAGGCGTCCTTCATTTATTTTGACAGCTGCGTAGATTACTCTAAGAGGGAGATATGCGATTCCGTGTGCCTGTATCTACACACCTGATTTCTCCACTGTTCTTCCTGATAACAAAAATTCTGCAATAAACGTCTTCACAAATAGATCATCACACAAGTTGTATAAGTATTACTGAAAACTGAACTCCTAGAATTGAAATGTCTGGGTAAAATAATATGTACATTAAATGGAAGATTTTTACCAAATTGGATGGTGTGCATGATGTGTGAACATATGATAGCATAGCATATGAAAAAACCTATCTTTCAGTAGGGACATGGATAAATTTACTATGGTACAGTCCAAACACTGGAATAGTATACAACCATTAACAAGAGTGAAGCAGCCCTCTGTGAACTAATAAGGAAACAATTCCAAAAATATATTCTGAAGCAACAGCACCAACAAAAACATTTTTTTAGTGAAGCAACAACATCAGCAACAACGAAGACGGGCAGAATCGTACAGACAGTGTGTCATCACAGTAGGACGCATCTAAAGTCCCAAACGATGCCTCTGGAAAGTTGCATACATTTATCACATCACTAGTTGCCTCTGGACAAGGTAACTGTGTGATAAGAAATCAGAGAAAAAGGCAACAATTATTTTCCACTGATATGCATTTATGCTTAATAATTGTATCACTACATCAACAGATAAATAAAATCTAATACACACTAAACACGTACAACTGATTTAGCCGGGAAAGTCAATAATATTTGAACCCTGCTGTGGCTCAACTGTGTTCCCATAAGAATCGTAAAAGAAATATTTGCATGGGGAAAAACAGTAAATAGGGATTAAATAATACTTGATATTATAGCTGGAAATCTGTAATGAAGTGCCTGTCCTAAGGTGGGTCTTTATTTCCTCTAAACCCAAATATATATTTGGATATCTTGCCCCTTGGGGTTTAACTGTAGCGCAGGAGGAAGGCAGGTGAGGATGCTGGAGATCTTTGAGGAAGTGGGACCAGAATCAGTTTGAGGATGATAGAGAGAAAGCCTCACCTATGTGTAGACAGTTGAGAGCCCTGTGACCCCACCCAATGGCTAACATGAAGTGACTTTGACAAGTTCCTGGAAACTCTTCCTCCTTGATAAGGGGTAGAACTTCTTTGAGATCTTCCTTCTGCGCCAACCACTCCTAGCCAAAGAAGATGTTATTCTGATTTTGCAGATGAGAAAACGCAGTCTCAGGTAACTTGCCCAATAATAGAATCAGTGCTAAAACCCTGATTATTACCACCATCACTAAAAAGAAAAAAATCCAATATCCTTTTTTGGTGTGTTTCTGCTCCCCAAATTGCATTTTTGTACTTCTCTCGTGGTATGTGGGGATGTGTTTGGGACATGTGAAGCCATAAGATCAACATGGCTGTCATCTCCCTGTGATGTACATTTTGTTGAAATATCTGTTGGAAGAAACATTATCTTGTATATTTAGATACTTTGTGAAGTATAGTCTGAAATCTACATTTTAAAATGGAGGTATAGTTGATTTATATCATATTAGTTTCAGATGTACAGTATAGACACTCAGTAATTTTTAGGCTATACTTCAGTTAAAAGTCATCTCAACATAATAAATATGCTTCCTTGCACTGTATATCCTTGTGGCCTATCCCTTTTATACATAGTAGCTTGTACCTCTCCATCCCACATTTTTCATACAAGAAACTTTAAAGAAAATTCAGCCACATGGTACATTGTGCTGGCTCACAGTCCTTGCTCTTACTCTCCTTTGTTGGGGCATTTAGTTGGACTTTTTGAGACATGCCGTACTATATCTAGCTGACTCTCTGCTCTTAAATGTATCATACATGACCGAGGATTTTCTCACTTTCAATTATTTGGGAACATTTTGAAGCAGGCATATAAATAGTTGACGGTGTGTGTGAGCCCAGAGTTCTTCCTCTGGGTTGTGGACCCTTAAGGAAAGGGAGGTGTCATATTTTTTGCAATCCTGATGTTTTCTAAATGTTGGCTGAATAAATGTACATTTTTTCTTGACAGGAAAGAAACTTTTCAGAGCATCTTCTTGGATGTCTCGCATGCAAGGATTGTGAATGAGCACTGGGACTTGGGAAAAAATGAGAAGAGCTTGAAATATGTTGAACGCTGTCTCCAGAATTTTGCAGGATTTGGTATTCTGAATTCAGAAGGGAACCTCGTGTCTTGGTTTATAACAGAACAGTCCTGTGAGATAAGAATGGGTTACACTATCCCCAAATACCGAGGCCAAGGCCACATGTGGCAAATGGGTAGTCAGATTGTGGCATATTTTTTTTCAAAAAATATACCGTTTTATCTACATGTGTCAGAAGATAAAGAAAAAACTCAACAGACAACGATCAGTTTTGGGTTCAAGAATGCTCTTTGTGGCTGGCATCAGTGGAAATGCACCCCGAAGAAATACTGCTGATGGTACTATTGTCCATTTCACATGTTTCTTATCAGGGAAAAAACATCAGTGCAAACAAAGGTGGTAGTCTACACAAGCAACAAAAACCATCCAGTTCTCTGGGGCTCAGGCCCTGCGCAGGCCATGTCTATAATAGTTTTGTCTTCTTTCTCTTGTGTAGTACAGAACATTAGAAGCTTGGCTCTTTGCTGTCCTGCTTTTCCTTTATGGTGAGAAATGTCTCAGAGTTGAAATTACCCAATGTCAATCATTAGTGCTAACATATCCCACTTTCCTCTTTGAAGAAGACCTCTTTCAGGAAGGAATCCCGCTTTTTCATGCTTCTCATTTGAAAGTAAAATGTCTCCTCTGAAAGTCTCTTCTCTGGCATCCTTCTCTTCTTCCCACAGAGTTTCCCAAAGGATCTTTCAAAATGCTTCAGCATCATTGCTTTCTCTCTTGGGTGCCCTCAAAAGTGCTTTGAGGTACTACACTGAATTGAATTATGTGGGCATCAGTGAAACTTTGGTTTTCTGACTAGCTTTTATCACAGAAACTTGGTTAAGTTGAGTTGTATAGCATAACTTCACATTTTTAATATGATTATAGATCTATGCTGTATTAGTTTCCTATTATTGTTGTAACAAGTTACCACAAATTTAGTGACTGATGATGCAGTGACATGATCTACCATATGATCCATCAATCCCACCCCTGGACATATATCCGGAGAAAACAATAATTCAAAAAGATACAAGTACCCCAATGTCCATTGCAGCACTATTTACAATAGCAAGGACATGAAAGCAACCTAGATGTCCATCAGCAGAGGAATGGATGAAGATGTGGGAAAAATGTGCAATGGTGTATTTCTCAGCCATAAAAAGAAAAACAATGCCATTGGCAACAAACTGGATGGACCTAAGGTTGTCACACTGACTGAAGTAAGTCAGACACAGAAAAACAAACATCATAAGATATCACCTATATGTGAAATCTTAGAAGGGTATACAGATGAACTTATCTACCAAACAAACAGAGTCACTGATACAGAAAGCAAACGTACAGTCACCAGCGGATAAGGAAGGAGAAAGATAAACTGGAGGACCGGGACTGACGTGGACACACTACTATGTATGGAATAGAGGACTAGCAAGGCCCTACTGTGGAGCGCAGAGAACGCTACGTGATATTCTGTAATGATCTACGTGGGGACAGAATCTAAGGAGAATGGCTGTATGTAAGCACATAACACATTCACCTGCTTACACCTGAAGCTAACACAAAACTGTAAACCATGGATATCAACTACACTTCAATAAAAACTATTTAAAAAATTTAGTGACTTAAAGCAACAATTATTACCTTATATTTCCGGGAGTCAGAAACGGAAAATGGGTCTTGAAAGTGAAAGTGTGAAAACATGAGCCGCTCAGTCGTGTCCAACTCTTTGTGACCCTGTGTATCGCAGCCCGCCAGGCTCCTCTGTCCATGCGGCTCTCCAGGCAGGAACACTGGACGGGGCTGCCGTTTCCTACGCCAAGGGCTCTTCCCGGCTCAGGAATCAAACCTCTGTCTTCTGCTTTGGCAGGTGGATCGTTTTACCTCTGAGTCATGAGGGAAGCCCCATACAGTTACTATATTTGAATTTAAAATAGTTGATTGTTTGTAAAGAATTTAAGAAAAGAAAGAAACATAGCTTTAAACCACTTATATTGTCAATAGTCTCTCTAGCTGCACTTCCAAAATATCACTGAATTTAATTTCCTTTCGGTTTACAGACTATTTCTTTCTTGTAGGGCAGATATGCCTTGTTTATCCGAAACTTTTTTTTTTTGCTTGTGTTTTGCAAAGATATTTTGTTTGATGTGAAATTTCAGACTTTCAGCATTTTAAAAATGTCATTCTATTGTCATGGGGAAGAACCTTTGTATTCTATTGCAAGTTAATGACTAAAGGGATGTTGCCTGTAAGTTTGAATTATAAATAATGGCCCATCTCTGGGAACCCAGCCTCTCAGGTAGGGAGTGCTAAACTAAAATACTTTGTTTAGCCACAGGAAGCATCCCTGACCAGGCCCTCCTGTGAGTGGCTGCAGGAAGGAAGACATTAACACATCCCTTCTAAGTCTGATCTGAACCAGGAAATGTTTGACTTGACTCCCTTCCCTTTTAGTATCAAAACACCCTCTTCACTCAGGAAAGATGATTCTTCAGGGCCTGAGTCCATCATCTTTCTGGTTTGCTGGCTTTCTCTGAATAAAGTCATTCTTCCTTGTCGATTTGTTGGCATACCATGCTAGTGAAGGAGGAAACAGAATAGGCTCCATCTTGAAAGCAGGATGCCATCTTGGGCCGGACTGTGGACTTTGAGGTTTAGGCTCAGTATCTATAAAATGACATACCAACTGGAAAACCAGGCGCCCGAAGGAAGACTCGACTCTCCGTGGCCTAAGAGAATGCCCCAGTTATCTGTGTAACTGAAGAGAATCCTGCATTCGATTATGCTTATTGGGGTGTGACCACAGCCCTGTTGGTAACTGTCCATTGTTGACCCCCTAGGGTTAAGGTTTACAAATAAACCAAAGGCATAACTTTGATTCTATCTTTTCCTTTGTTCAGACTAGTTTCAGGGAAGTTGGGGAGGTGGGTTTGGGCATGTACACTTAGGGTATATAAGGTTTTCACAAAAACTGGTCGGGGGCCTTGGCTAAGAGGAGACTCTGCCTTGGGCCAGCCGGTGGAATAAACTGTGCTCCACGATCTGCATTTTCCTTCTGAGTGAGTTTGTTTCCCGGAATGCGTGGCTACAGCACAGCAAGCAGTGCAAGCTTGGACTGGGTAACAGATTTCGGGGAGGCAACCAGGGCCTTGCTGCCTGTGGCCAGATGCCCCGGTCCCGTTGCCACTGGGAGGTTTCTGGGTGAGACCCTGTTGTAGCCACGCGATCCGGGAAACAAACTCACTCAGAGGGACAATGCAGATCGTGGAGTGCAGTTTATTACACCGGCAGGCCCAAGGCAGAGTCTCCTCTTGGCCACAGACCCCGACCAGTTTTTCTGAAAACCTCATATACCCTAAGTGTACATGCTCAAACCCACCTCCCCAGATTCCCTGAGACTAGTCTGGACAAGGTAAAAGAGATACGATCAGAGTTAACCCATGATTCATGTGTCACAAGACTAGATAAACAGTGGATGTTTATCAATAGGCCTGTGGTCATGTCCCGATAAACATAACGGAATATACCACTTTGTTCTGTTACAGAGATAATTAGCACATTCTTTTAGGCAGCGGAGCGTCCAAGTCCAAGTCCTGAGGCGCTTTGACCCAGGGGTCTGGTTTTCCGTTGGTCTGCCATTTCTATAGACCCCGGGCCCAAAGTTCAGAGGCCACTGGGAGGGTGACCACGCCTCTAGCCGAATGCTCGCAGTCTGGCCTGAGACAGAGTCCAGCTGCTGGTCCTTCAAGCCTGGCAGCTGCGGATACCACTCGTCGCTTCAGAATTCCCCAAGGTGGCACAGGCTGTCCCCGCGCTTGGCAGTTGGAGGCAGGGATCAAGATTGGGGAGAGGACACACTCCCTACAGTGCGGTAGATCGCTCCAGTGTTTACACCCAGAAGCTTCATTTCCTCTCTGTTAGGGCTTTTTCTCCAGAATAAGTCAGTTTGTTTTGTATTCGAGGAGGGGTACCCGGTTGGAAAGAGGAAAGAGTTGTTGAACTTTTGTCCAGTTTGTGAACCGGTTCTCTGCTTTCTTTCTGAGGCTAGCATTTGTCTGCCATTTGTGTTTTGTCTCTCTTGAATTTGTCTTTGAAAGTGGGGAATGTTTCACTGTCCCTAAAGAAGAGCCCCCCAGGCACACGTTGGGTAGGCGAGCTAATGACAGCCGTGAAGCCCTGACTGAGAGGCAGATATCTGATTGTAACGAGGTGTGGCCCAGTACCTGGGAGGATCTGCACGCGGCTGTCAGGAGGGCTTGTCATGGGCCCTGCGTACCATGTCCTGCCCACCTCACTGTGTTACCTGCATAGTCTGTGCTCTCCCGTGTTGTTGGAGTCTGTAAAACTACAAGACCAAACCTGAAGGTCTGTCTAGGATTTTCTGCTTGTCCTTTAGGGGTTTTTGTCTCTTTGTTTGGTACCGTTTCTCCAGGGCTTCTTGGGTGGCTCAGTGGTGAAGAATCTGGCTGCCAATGTAGGAGAGGCAGGTTCAGTCCCTGGGTTGGGAAGATGCCCTGGAGGAGGACATGGCAAACCCCTCCAATGTTCTTGCCCCTGGAGAATCCCACGGACAGAGGAGCCGGGCCTGCTATATAGTCCATGGGGTTGCAAGAGAGTCAGACATGACTTAACGACTAAACAACAGCAATGTTTTCTCCATTTACAGCCAAATCAGTTTTGTGACATTCAGAACTTTTACTGATGTCAAATGGAGGAAAGGTACAGTGGGGAAAGCTCTCCTTGTCCAAGAGTGGGAAATTCCCAGGGAGAAGAGAAAGGTTCCGTTTGGTTCTTAAAATCAGCAAAAGCCCCATCCTAGAATTCCGCCTGGCTGCTTGGTGTCAAAGCAAAAGTGTATCCTTTTAATGGTTAGAAATGACCAATGGCTATTTACAGTTTTACAGATTTTTTCCCCCGCTATGGCTCTTTTGTGAAGAATCAAGGAAGAATAATGAAATCCTTTACGTGCAAGCATGTGGTTTATTTCGTCAGGAAAAGTAAGACAATGAAGGAAATGAGAGTGAGGATNTACATCAGGGAAAATGAAGGAAATGAGAGTGAGTATATGTTGCTTCAAACCTTAACTCCTCTGGCTGAGTTAGCTGTCCCAGCCATTCTGGCCATTATGCCAATTACATCCAACCCTCTAGTGCTCTAGTGTCTATCATTCCTATCCAGCCCCAATTTCTGGCACTGGGTCTCACGACTTCCCTTCCTAATAGGGGTCAATTAGAAAATCCCGTGTTAGGTTTTAAAGTACTTGGTCTGGTATCATGGAAGATCTGACAGGCCCTCAGTTTGGGCCAGAAGCCACTCCCAGGGGAAGACAGTTTCCTTTCCCCATTATCTCATAGGGAAAGTGAAAGTGAAGTTGGTCAGTAACGTCTGACTCTTTGCGACCCCGTGGACTGTAGCCCATCAGGCTCCTCCGTCCATGGCATTTTCCAGGCAAGAGTAGCCGAGTCTTCTCCAGGGGATCTTCCCGACCCAGGGATCGAACCCAGGTCTTTGGCATTGCAGGCAGACGCTTTACTGTCTGAGCCACCAGGCAGCCTGATCTCGTCGGGAACCTAAGTGCAAATGATTAGCCCACGGGGTTTCTCAGGCTTATTTAACTGGAGAGATTGCAGCCTTCCTTACTAGGGAGGATCCTCTACACCCAAAGCCCACTTGGCAGTACCCTCAGCTGAACCAAATTGGGACCCTGATGAAGGAAGAAATGCCCTTATTAGAAAATGAATGCATCTTGGCAAAACTTTATAAAGGAGAACCAAAGCAAAGAGTTTCAAGAAATTCAGCAAAACAAATGAAGACCTCTCTGAATTTTTAGAAAGGACTTGTAAAGTTTAGAGATGTCACACTAATGCAGATCCCAAGGCCCCCAAAAACATTAGAATGGCAAATTTAACGTTTTTTGTAGAGGTGGGGGCAAAGTGCCTCAGATATTGTGAGAAAGTTGCAAAGATTAGATATTTGGAATGAATCCTTTTTAATTGGTAGATGTTGCCTTTAAAGTGTTCA